GGAAAATTTTAAGGTGATAGATTAGGATTGGGTACAAATAAATAGAGAAATATACTTTATTTGATGTCGAATTGGAAAATTTTAAGGTGATAGATTAGAATCCTTAATTTAATTTAGTTGATTGAAAACTAATGCGAGATTGTTAGCCCTCAGGTGAGAGAGTAGTGGGAGCTCTGGGTGGTATCCTCCCAGCCTAACCACAGAATTAGAGACCAAACTATGGATTAGTCAATATTCTTTATAGTGCTCAGAAGAGGGTAGAGAATATGATTGCTCCTATTTGACACAAAACAGTTTTTAAATATATTTTTCAAATGATTTCAATTTCTTCACAAGCCATATATTCATTGTAAAAGGGAAGGATGTTTTCTCAAACTTGAACTTTTTGTCAACAAAAACCTTTATTTTATTTCAGCAATTTTACTTTTGAAAGTTTAGCATCTAGTTTAATTTAACTATTATAGTCTTACATTTGCATATTTCGTAGCATTCACTTGAATTTTTGAAAGTTTAACATCTAGTTTAATTTAACTATTATAATCTTAGATCTGCATATTTAGTAGCATTCACTTGAATAGTTTAACTTCAAACTTCGCACTTTACTTTGTTTTTATTTTTATTTTATTTTAAGAATAGAATATAAATAACTAGCTTATATATATTTCCAGCTTCCCTGTGGGATCAATATTTAGGACTTCATTAGAGCCCTGTATTACTTGAATAATATGTATACTTACGTTATATTTAGAAGGGACTTGGAAGTTTAAAAGAGATTTTAAAGATAAATTATTTTCATTAAATTTATATTATTGTTTGGATTTCATTGCATATTTATTATTAATCATATCCCGAGTTTTGCGCATCAGAGCTCCAATAACTTATTCAATCCAATGGTATATCTATGACTCATTCATTGTCCTGAAAAAAGCTTTATCAGCTTCGTCTGCCTTTAATGCTTCATGGACAACTATTACAGATTCATTGGAAATTTTTGGAATGTTGTGAAGCTTGGCCAAACATTCAATGGTGGTGAATGGAGAGTGACAGTCAAATCATCATTGAAATAGTTTTGCGTTTTTGTTTACTTCCTGAAGTAACACTTTCATGTTTGATGTATCTTTTCTTTATTTATTAGGTTATTTGCTGGAATGGACACTTGTGTTTGATCATTTGCCACCACTCAATTGATTGGATCCTTTTCGCATGCTAACATCTATATCTCATTGAACGTTTGGTTTTGGATCTGTCTCACTCAACTCATCTACATAGCTTACACCATTCATAGCCATAAAATCATCATCCAATATAGTAACTTCCTCTTCTTTCATATCCTCTCGAGAGGAATCAAGTTCATAACCAATGGCGGGTGCAATATTTTTAGAACAAATTCTTTCAAAGATATAGAACTAGTGGAAAGGCCTCCTCTGATAGCGTTTTAACTTTGAGTATAATATCAAAATGATTACTTTCAAATCTATAACTAGTATGTTATATTATCTTTATAATCTCTTCCTAGATTTCATCAATTGTTATCAATAGTTGCATATCTTCATCCCAACTCCAGCTATTGTGATTAGATAACTGATACACTGCTCGAAAAGCAACTTTCATATTTTTGATGCACGTTAAAATCATTGGTTCAGTATAAGTAGCGTTTAATTGTCTGTTCAATGCGTCAATAATGAAAACTTAATAAATCACTCATCATTTTTACTTCTATCATATGTCCATATTGAAATTGTTTGAGCATCAACTCTGTAAGAACAATAATGTGCTCTTTAGGCCATTTTGACAATCTAGCTGTAATTTTTTGCTTTCCAGTATGGATGAAAATATTCTCATCAGGGGACAGTTTTGAATTGAGGCCACCACAGATCAACTTTCCTTCTAGAAATTTTTTTATCACTACAAGATGTTTAACATTAACAACATTTTGTTCATAGAAAAAACTTTAGTATGTTCAAAATAAATTTATAGAATAGTTAAGAAATAATACTGTTTTTTTATTTTCTCTTATTTATTTATTGTATCTGAGATGTTGTATGTAACTAACATTTGACGATTCGTGATTGCTTAGAATGTCTGTCATGGTCTGGTTTTTTTATGAACAACTGTAATGTTATATTTATCATTTGTAGTAGGATTTTCATTGCTCATAACCTCTTTAGAGTTACTCATATTCAATTAGCCCTAATTTTAAATAAAGCATCACTTTAGGTTTAACCTTGTATAAACATCTTTTTCTTAATGATCTTGTACTTCAATTTGCAACCCTATTAAAACAAAACTAATCAAGCCAAAGAAGATGAACGAATGAGAGGTGACATTGGGGCACCTAACTTCCTATATAATTCTCTTATTGTAGTTCTCTAACTTTTATTCATTTCAATAAGAGTTGTGCGACCAATATTTATAATATATGCTTTGTGGTATGTTGATTATAAATCAACGTGTGATACATATGTAAAATTAAGAGGACATTTGATCGATATAAAAAAGTTGTTATGTCTAAAAGAAGTTGGATTAATGTCGATGAGGTGGATTAAGTTTAGATTGTATTAGCTGTAGACTGCTGTAAATTTTGTTTTTTAAATATTGGAAATTTCAATAATTTTTTAAGAAAAACGGCCTACCTGCATACAATGTCGATGAGGTGGATTAAGTTTAGATTGTATTAGTTGTAGACTGCTGTAAATTTTGTTTTTTAGATATTGGGAATTTCAATAATTTTTTAAGAAAAACGGGCTACCTGCATACCAAGCACTAAAACCTTTAAGGTGAAGTTTAAAATAATACACAACTAATTTCAAAAAGTAAAATGCATCAAGAAAAGGAAGCATCATCATCTCATGCTATTAAGATAATTTTTAGATAAATAAGGGATACTTACACAAAGCACTAAACTAATTTCAATAATTCCCTTGCTTTGGCTCATTATGATTGGTATAGTTGCCTCTATGTCTATGTTGCATCTTCATCTCAACCAAAAAAGTTTATCAAAATAGCATCAAGAAGAGGAAGTCTAAGATGACATTGGGACAACATGCCTTAGCATGCTAAAGTTAGATATTCTTTTTGTAAAATATGTTATGATATTATTTGCTCTATGTAGTTTTAACTAAATATAGGGGCAGAACTAACCCCTTTTTTGAATGTGGACAAAATGTTCCCCTAAAGTCAATGTGGCAGGGGCTAGGGCAACTAAAAGAAAAGTGATATTTCAGGAGATGCAAAAGACCTAATTATCCTACCATATAAGTAAAAAATCTGAATTGAGGAGGGGACCCTATGTGGGTCCGCCCTAATCAAATAGCTTGCTAATGCTTCTTTTCAAATAAGAATAGCACAAATACAAAGTGATACATTTTAAAATAAATTAGTAATCTTTCTTTAAAATGAAAATAATAATATTTTATGATTTACAAATCAAATGCAAGTAGAAAAAAATAAATTGTAAAAATAAAAATTCTAGACTTAAAATATGATTCACACAACATTAGGGCATGAAAAGATAGCAAAAAATTATCTAAAAAACTAAAATCAAAGCTTATATAATATCATTGCACTCCATAAGTCCATAAGAAGATAAGAAAGCAAGAATCATACAAATGCAAATCAGACTTAAAGAAATCAAACTAGCCCAATATATATCTAAAAATTTTACAACACAAAATCGAATCTACAAATCCTTCACTGCACATATGAATCATTACCACTTAACAGTTAAAGAGTGAAATACCTTTTTGCGTTCGGTATGGGGAATTTGGTGGTTTTGGGTATATTATCTTAGAAAAAAAAGAGTCACAAAAAAAAAAAATGTTTGGTATGAGGAACTTAGAGAAGCAAATGAAATAGGTCATGAAACTCAAGTTCACGATGAAAAGCCTTTAATGGCAATCGCGCAAGTGTGAGAAAGAGGAAAAATTGACAAGATATTAAAGTCAATCGAGAAGGGAAACATAGATGGTGCGAGAATCTACACTAAGAACTCAATACGCGAGCACGACGTGAAAAACAAGTACTAAATTATCGGTCAAATGGTAGTAAAAGAAAAAAAAAACTGCGTGCTAACCTGCTAAATAATGAGAACGAAGACACTGATCCACGAAGATGTTGCTGCAATATGATCAAAACGGTGGCTTCAACATGGGATTGGTTGCCCTAAATAGATTGAAGGCGACATTGTGAAGCAGGGGTGACGACACGAGAGCCGCGGCTGTTTTCTTCGCCTTACTCGTAATCCGTTAAATCAGTCGAATACACGGATTTAGTAATTCTAGGATTGGATGCGAAAAAAGTGAGAAAATTGGATTTACGGAATCCCCAAATTCATCATGCCATTTCTTTAGGTTTGGCTGGATTTAGTTGAAATCCACTCTTAAATCCTATTAAAGGTGTGCTACCAAAAGCCCCATAAGCATTTTAGTTGCTAATGACCAGCTTCTTCATCCAATGAAACAAGAAGAGTCTAGGGAGTATCTTGGGTTTCTCTTGAGTGAGTTTTCTTTCGAGCCCGAATGGTTAAGCAAGAGTGGTATCGATGGCAGTTACAACAGTGGCAATTCACAGTCACGAGCGAAGGCTCCACTCTTAAATCCTATTAAAGGTGTGCTACCAAAGGCCCCATAAGTATTTTAGTTGCTAATGACCAGCTTCTTCATCCAACGAAACAGGAAGAGTCTAGGGAGTATCTTGGGTTTCTTCTTGAGTGAGTTTTCTTTCGAGCCCGAATGGTTGAGCAAGAGTGGTATAGATCGCAGTTACGACAGTGGCGTTTCACAGAGTCACAGCGAAGGTGCGAAGGCTGTAATAATAGGTTGTGTGGTATTTTTGATGTTTTAGAATGAATTGTATGATAGATATGCAAAACTGTAAATTTAGGTTTTAATATGAAATGATAAAGAATTACGTGACTTGTACGTCAGTTGTGTCTTTTTTTTTTTTTTATAATTTTTAGGGATTGAAATATAAATTGTAAATTTAGACGATCAATTGGTTAAGAGCACAGATCGGACGGCAGTCAAGAAGTTGCCGTGCAACCATCAAAGTCTCGCCGGTATAGACGCGGAGGGGAGGGAGGGAGAGGGCGAGCGAGAGAGAGAGATAGAGATGAGCGAAGAGCAGTGGAAAGGCGGAGGTGGAGAAGCTGGTGATCCACACCACCACCATCATCAGCACCCGTACGAACCATATCAGCTTGGCCCTCAGTATGGGACTTTCTCGGGTGTTCCGATCCCCCAGCATCCGGCGATGGGTTTCCCCCAGCCAGTTCCACCGGCCGGCGTCACTGTCCATTCCCCTTTTCCCGGTCCTACTTATTACCCTCATGGGTACCAAGCTTTTCATGGTAAAGCAATAGCGCAAAGCAAATTTCTTGTTTCTTTTTTTGCCCTTGCAATTCATGCAAGTTTCTTTTCAAATGGTGCCGGTGGTTAAAAATTATTTTAGTACTTTTCCAAACCCTGTTCATCCTCCTAAGTTTAAGAGCTAGGAATGTGGATGCAGAATTGATCTAGGGTTTGTTTTTGAGTTTCCTTCTGTTACCCACTTATAGCGTATTGACAATATATGAGATATGCAAGCACACGCCTATGAATAGGAAGGAAAAGCTTAGTCGCTCGTTCTTTGCTAGATGCATTAGTTTTGGCGAAAAGAAACATGTCTGTTGATGACCAATGTCTTGCAATTTTTTTCTGTGATCCCAGCCATTAAGTGACTTAAATTCTTCATTGTTGATCATGTTTTATTCTCTGTATGATAAATATGTTGATGCATGCCCCATATTCATTGTTGTTAAAATCTCAAGAATTATTAGTATTTTATTTATTTTAGTTGTTCTAGACTAAAATAACTGAAGTATACACCAAGGTACATCCTCCTTTAAATGTCCAGTAAGAACATCCATAACTAAAGCGAAAAGATACGAGCTTAAAGTTGATCCATGATGTAATCCAATTAAAATAGGAAAATACTTGGTCAATCCTCCTTCGATTTGAACATAAGTAACAACTCTAGTATACATATCTTTAATGACTTGAATATAAGTCATATCAATACCTTTCTTTTGTAGAACTCTCCAAAGAACTTCTCTCAGAACCTTATCATATGTTTTTTCTAAATCAATAAAAATCATATATAGATCCTTCTTGCTCTTTCTATGCTTCTCCATCAAACCTCTCAGTAAATGTAAAGCTTCCATAGTAGACTTGCCCGCCCTAAATCCAAACTAATTATGAGAAATTTTTGTATCACGTCTTAACCTATGTTCAATTACTATCTTCCATACTTTTAATGTATGTCACATTAACTTAATTCTTCTATAATTTACATAATTCTTCTATAATTTATTCTTCTATAATTTACACACTCTTGTGCATCCACTTTATTCTTAAAAATGGGACCAAAGTATTCTTCCTCCACTCTTAGTAGGCAAAGAAACTCTTAAATCTTCTAAATATTTTCACACTTCAATTGAGATATCATTAGAGGTCTAAATATGGGTACTAATTCAAATTAAGGAGTAGAAGAATACTATTTATTTCCTTTTTATTGCTTTTGCCCTACTTCTTACAACATTCTTTTGTCTTCGTTCCTCCTCTCTTTTCTGAGTCCATGGTTTTCTAGTTTCCTAACTACAATTCTTTGTGAAACGCTATTGATACTAATATAGATTCAAATTATTATAGTTCCAAATCATTACATATTCATTAAAAATAGAAGAATGTTATTGTTTTCTTTATTTTTGCTATGGTTCCAACAGTATTATCTAACCATTGGTTGACATTTCTTCTTTTATGAGTCCACCTTGTACATGGTAAAGGTCTGGGTTATGTCCTTTTATCCTTTCCCTTATTTATTTGAATCGACAAGGTCACGATATAGCCCCTTTTCCTCAAACATGTTTGATGCATGTTCTCTCAATTAGATTGACTAGAAACAATGTTCTATTCTTGTCTAGTTTTATTTAGCCTTTTCTGCTAGAAAAAGGTTTTTTATATCAATTTCATTCAAGAAACTCTCAAAAGAATTAGCAAGGATTGCATGGTTTGAGGGGTCAAATATCTTCAATCCTAAATTTCAGAAGTTCTTTGCTTAGTATCATTTACCAGTTAGATGGTTCATGTCTACTCTCTCTGAAGTAGATTCAACTTGTGACTCAATTTGTTTTTTTTTTTCAGTTCTTCTTCAGAGTTATAGGAGAGTTTTTGTGACTAGGGTTGTAAACGATTCGAGCTTGATTGATTTCAGGCTTGACTTGTGTTTAGCTTGTTCTATTCGAACTGGCTCGTATTCAAAATTACTCATAAATAATGTGTTTGTGTTCGACTTGATTTACATATTTTTAGACACTAATTTTACTATACATAATTTTTAGTTTGAGCTTAAAAATTTATTTGTGTTCGGCTCACTTAACGAATGATTTGAACACACAAAGAACAGAAATTTTTGACAGACCTATGTATGAGAAATATTCAAGATTATCAAAAGCAAATGCTATGCAACTAAGATATGACTAGGACTAGGTCATCTATACTGTTAATTGCTTACGAGAGTAATTCAAAAGATTTTTACCTTTGTTGCTTGCTGTCCTGATTTTTTTCGAACTTAAAAAAAATCCAGGTATTCTCTTATGCAACATGAAATTTTTGTTTGAAAATAACCTTCTCAAGATGTTTTAAGTATCACATCACATGAACTCTTAGCAGCCAACAACTACCCCAATCAAACTGCTATGGAAATGAATATGATCTCTAGAATGGGAACATGGACAATATTAGAACAACCACAATCAGATTTAAAGAATGCGAATGAAAGTTTACTAATACATAAAAATCAAGGCAAGCCAGTGTTCTAGCTTCATGGTAATGATGGTCACCTTGAAAGAAAATGTTGAAATTTGTGAAAATGGCTGATGATAATGAAAACTTGGGAACACAAGAAGTTAAGGTGTTGGCCTTGGCATGTGTAAATGTCCCTCTCACACTCAACCAAGGCTGCATGGATTCTTGACTCTATGCTAGTAATCATGCGGCGCCAACCTAGGTAAAGTATTCATCTTATTCTTTTATATATAATGGAGATGTGGTCATTGGAGTTGGAACTTTACATCACATTTCTCATATTTTGAAACTGTTTTTCATACACAAAAAGGAAGGCTTAAGACTGAAAGATGTCTATCTTGTTCCTACTTTCAAATAGGACTATAAATGAATCAGTGCATTTGATGCACAACTTGAACCCGACTCGATTAATACTTGATCAAGTTTATTCAAATTGGTAAATAAATAATTTTGAATGTTCTTTTGAAAGCTCAAAAAGTTATAAATGTGCCCAATATAAATATGATCTAACTTGTTTATTTATATTCATGAATAAATTTATTTATTGCTTAACAAGTAACTTGTTAAATACTTGATATTAAGCTGAACGATAGCGCATATCATACATGCTATATTATTTAAATAAAATTTGACTAATTAGAACATATTTAATTATTTTTTTTAAAAAAGCTCATTGCTTAATATTAATTTTTTAAGAATGATTATTAATTCTATATTTATTTTAGTGGATTGTTTATTAATGCTCCTAATTTATTATTTAATACATCATTGTCACCATATTAAATTCATCATACTTTGTAATATTAATTAACTATCATTATAGAAATATCTAATATCTATTTATCAATTATATAATCATATTAATTATATAATATCATATATTTTTAATTTCTTTGCCCTTTACGAACTACATTTTGATCGACACTTAGCATCCTTAACCTATCTTTTCCCTTTTATGGTTTTAACTCATTTGTTTTACATTCATAATTTTATAGCTTTTATATATATATTTTTAACAATAATTTAGCTGTCCTTAGTGAATTTGCCTATTAAGTTCATGTAATTTATTGTTATTTATTTAGTTCAATGAACTAATTTATTAGTAATTATTTATATTATTTAATTTCAAAAAACTATTCTTGAAAATTATATATTATCTTATTTAATATGCCCATAACTTTAATTGAGAATTTATTCAATTTCTTTTTTTGTTTACATTTTTAAAATCTTTTTTAATAACTTTATATCAAAAATTAGATACTAGTTTAAATTTTAGCTTGTTTATTGATTCATTGAAAAACTTATTCAATTAATATAAACAATCTCAATACAAAACAATTACAATTATTAAAAAATTTAAACGAAGTTTGAACATACATGCGAATGCTTGGTTTAAGCTTGAGCCGAACATGAACAACTTATAATATGATCACCCCAAGACAAACCTGCGTCATACTCAGCTTGACTCAACTCAATTTCAATTTTATTTTCAAATACTTCTCGTATCAAAACTTAAAAGAAACTAAGAATCATGCTAGTGAATGCATGTTCATCATAGGTGTGTTTTTGTAAGGCAAACACACAACAGCCACATTCACTAAAGGGGTTAAGAAAGAAAGAATATGTCTTTGGAACAAAGCTACATAAATCATCTTTGTTCGTCTATTAATAAATGCTAAGTCCTATCAAGAGTTTGAGTTATTGCATAGATGTTTAAGCAAAGCTTAGTGCCAACAAAAAGCATGTATAATTTGCTTTCATTACCTTTAAAATTTTCATTAGAAAAAAAAAATTTTTGAACCATCCTTTTATGGGATGCAAACTAGTTATGCTCCTTTTTTTATTTCCAGCCTTAGTGTGGCCGACCTCTTGAATTAATGCATGGTGATTGCACCAACTGTTGTTTTTTTATTAGAATGGAAGTTATGCCGTTGTTCAAGTTTACTTGGATATGAATTAACAAAAATCAAAATAGTATCAATAAAGAAGGTGGATATTATACATTCACAACCTAAAAATGACATTTCATAAAAAAGGGGTGAGGAATTTACATACATCGCACCAAAACCATTTAATATTACATGTTTTACACCTAAACTTATCTATTTACAATTACAATGCCCAAAATATTAAATAAAACTCAAAGTAGCACATTCCCCCTTTTATGCCCAACCGTCTGTCCCTCTCTCTATCTCATTGGATTTCACGCCCAACTGCCACTGGCAAAATACTGCTGGGTAGGAGCATCAAGTTTGTTGGTGGTGGTCACTATTTTAGAGGACGTTTTGCAGTGTGGGCTGGGCCAAAGCGAAGATGGCAGCAATGGAAAGGGTAGGTGGCGTTGTCTGCCTGTAGGGTGTAGCAAGAAATGGGGGATAGGTCCATGTTTTTGTGCGGACAAGCGATCAAGGTGGAGAAGAGCGTGAACAGCTTGTTCTCTTGTGCCGCATGAAGGACATAGCATGCAGACTCTGCTTGACCAGGGAGAGGATTAGCAAATCTGAGCAAAGATGACAGTAGGTGGAATAACTAAAACAGCTAGTGAGAGGATGGGAGGAGAGCCGGCTGGGTGTTGGGCCTTAAACTGTGAGGAAGAGCATTGGGAAATTGTAGCTTCTATCATGCAAGAACTGGAAAAAGGGTGCTTCGCAATTTTCTTAGCTTTGAGTAGCTGTGGAAGGTGAAAAGGGGGCTTGAGGACTGCAGATAAGAGCGCAAATTGTGCAAGGAGGTGAGTTGCTATTGGATTTGGGAGGAAAAATGTGGGTCGTGGATCTCGTGTGAGGGGAGCGGCAGGATGGAGGCAGAGCGAGGTCTGGCGGTCACCGGAGCGGTGAGATTCGACTAACGCCATTAATTGGGCATTGTAAATGTAAATTAACTGGGTTCTGTAAGTGTAAATATATAGATATAGGTGTGAAATATGTAATTTTAAATATTTTGGGCAACATGATCAATCCATTTCCATGTTTTAAACATTTCATACCATTTGAAACTCTTGAGAGAATCAAACTATGCAGTGATGCAAATCTTTGTTTCAATTGTATATGTTCTTTTGCTAAAAAAATCATAGAAAAAATGTTATTCTGAATCGAGGAAATGCATTTTCATTTGCTATGGAAAAGGCTATAAGGATTAATGATATTTAGACCAACAAAGTAAGAAAGCTCACCCAAACCGACATCTCCTAAATTTATTTGAGAAGAAATTGAAAGTTTAATTAACAAGTGTCATACCAACACTAGCGCTAATCATCCCTTATTTTTAGGACGAGTTTCCAAGCAGTCAATAAGATGAGGAATAATCCTCGATGAAGAAGATTATTTATAACAAACACAGAAATAAGAGTTAGACTACAAGAATAATGCAAAGCTGAAAGCCCCTTATGCCTGTAAGTGGAAGAGCTTAGTGCTTAACTTTAAAGTATTAGTAGAAAGTCTTGGTTTTAAAATAACAACTGATGTTTCTTTTTTACACTTACAGGATCGAAGAAATTATAGTAGATGTTTTCATATACGTCGATGACAAAAATTCTGTTTGAATTCCAATAAGACAATGAACAATCATAAAGATCTTCTGCTGAAAAGAATTAAAACCAAAACTTGGGACATTTGACGTAAATTCTTGGATTAGAGTTTAAAAAAATTTTCTAAGCAAGGTAATAAATGCCAAAATAAAATTTTGCTTTAGATCTTTTCAAAAAAATGCAAAATATAGAATTGTAAGCCTTCACTTACACTCGGTGCTCTCAATCAATGGCTATGTGTCAATGAAGGAAAACCAGTGTTGGACCCATGTGTCTTTCGGATTATTTGGGGAGCCATACATTTTCTCACCAATGCCTCACATGATATATCCTTTGCACTGAATCAAATGTCACAATTTATCCAAATGCAGCCTGTGAAAATACAATGCAAAGGAATTATAAGTTATGATATTGGTTTTTGTAAAGGATCACAAAGATAACTTTTCAGGTGGCAAGCTATTTTGTTGCAGTCGGGGTAGGAGGTAAGGCTATTAGAGGGTCTATCACAGGTTATAGCATCTTCCTTGGACCGAACTTGAGATCCTGGAAAAATACCAAACATATAATTACTAAAAGATCAAGTACTGAGGGTAAATACAGAGTAATAGCTTTTTTAATGGCTGAAACTACTTTATTGATAAATTTTACAGCTGTTCCAACAGTATATTTTGATAGAGAAAGTGCTTTCACGTTGATTAATAATCCCATCTTGCATTGTTGTTCAAACTACATGAAATTGATTACCACTTTATCATTAATAATGTATAACTAGGTGAATTTAGGACTGTATTTATTACATCAAAGAACAAGTTTCATATGTTTTGACCAACTGTTTAGGTGTGAATCAATGTTGGTATTTTAAGAACAAATTTAGCTTGTTTTCAACCAATGCTTTTGACCAAGTTTTAATTTCATTAAGTATGTATAATCTATTATGCAATGAAGCAAAAAGTCGGCAGTAAAGCCAAAATAATGAGTTGCAAAGACAATGGATTCTAGGGATCTTGAGAATGTCAACATTAATGACAAATAGAATTTGATGTAATTCTCATTTATCAATTCATATGTGCTCATTTATGTCAATTACATTTATTGTATTAATTGATGTCCATATATGGAACCTTATTCATAATATAAAAAGGGAAGGGTATGAATGTTGGTAACAATACTAACTCAAATCAAGGAATAGAGGAATACTATTAGCTGCCTTGTCCCATTGGTGAGCCCACTGTTTATAGTGTTCACTTATAGTCTTAGATCTGAATTTTTCAGAGACTTTTTTCACGACAGCCATACCCAATGAAGGTGGTTATAATTTTAGAAAATAAATTCGTGATTAATACCGCATGCTTCTACGAACTTTTTTTTTTGTGATTGTACTTTACCAACTCTTGTTGTGACAATGAAATCCATATTTTCAAGACTTTTTTTGGAAGCTTTCATTGTTCCCTAATTATCATGTTTCTTTCACTCTTCTGCTTTTCTTCTAACCTCCCTCTCCCTCAAAAGGCTACGTGCCTGTTGCTGAAGGAAGGCCTTTGAGAGAGCCACGTCTTCCCTGCTGTGGAATTGGTATTGCATGGCTTTTGTAAGTAAACCTATGCTTTATTTAATGATACTGTGCTTCTGTCTTTCACATTTTTCAGATTGTTTGTCCGATCTTCAGGGCTACTTGCCTTTTTTTCATGCTGGTGTAACATATTACTGTTTTTGCAAGATTCATTACTGGGTTCTTTCTTGCTGCCATTCCCTGGTATGTTGGAGCATTCATTCTACTGTGTGTTAGACGAGTTGATTATAGAGAAAAGCCTGGATATGTTGCTTGCACAATTGCAGTAAGTATCATCATTTGGTAGATTGGTATATTTTTTGTATGTATTTAATGCCATTTTCTAAATAGGATCTTTTATTTGACTTGGTTTAATTTATAAATACAGCTAACACTTGCACCATTACACAAAACAAATTTCTTTTTTCTTAATATGCTTCTTTCAAATGTAATTTTGTTTGTAGATTGATATTTCTTGACTCTTATATTTCTCTCCATAGACACACAAACACTTGAAAAAAAAAAAAAAACTGGAGCAAGTAGTTTCTTCTGACACTGATGGAAAGATGTAGAAGTGTAGAGCGTATTCCAGATTTCCATACGGCATTCAAAACTCTAGGCAGCGAATTATGGTCTCCTCAATCAATATCAATCATAAATCATGCAACAACTTTCAAATATAAACATGCATAGTTTCTTCATTTGAAATTTCTCACAATATGGGAGCGATTAATCGGCAATCCTCTGCTAAGCGAATGACAATGGGTATTTTATCAAATATTTTGTTAATTAAATATAATTTATTATTAGTTTAAATGAGTTTGAATAAGCTCATGATTATCATCGCCTGATTTGATAACTCTCCAACCAAGTATCATGTAGATTAAGGCTTGATAACTCTCCAACCAAGTATCATGTAGATTAAGACCCTCGGTCAGTTTCGAACCCCCGCCCCGTACCGTTTGTTTTGCACGTTTTAACTGCTTATATGTAAATTGCGTTTTTTATTTTGAGAGCGATCGCGGGTATAACCCCGCGATCAGCGTTTCGAACGCCGGTTTGAGATAAATTTTACGCATCAGCCCGCTCCACTGCCCCCTCAGCGACCCCGCAGCCCTAAAATTCTTTTCCGCCAAAGGAAGCCGCGCCTACGTCCCACGCTCAATTCGTTCGGACCTCCGAACTCCCAAAAGCCAGAGCCGCTCCTACCTCCGTCGAAGGAAGGAAGCCTGCTCCGACCATTGGTAAGAAATCCCAATCCTTCTCTTCTTCCTAGCTCGCGACTCCATGGCCTCTCCCTGCTGCCGAACGCCTCTCCCTGCTCTTCTGCCACAAGCTTCTTCTTCGACATTCTCAGCAGGTAAAACTTCTTCCTTGCCCTTTTCTTCGCAATTCCACTGGCTTTTCGACAGCAATTTCTTCCTCTTTTTCCCACCTCAACAAGCATTTCTACAATATTTCTTCCTCTTCTTCTTCTGCATTTCTTCCTCTTGTAAAATTTAAAATGTGTCAATACAGTGAACACAAATTGTGCGAGCCATTTCTTCCGAGAGAAAATTATATGTATTGGAATTTGGGCTAACCATTTCAGCCTAATCATAACTTAATACTGCTGTATGCATTCGAGCATGATGGATGGTAGTGTTCTTTCTGTATAAATTGTAACCTCAGGCTTGTTTATTGTGAACGGATAACAATAAGTTCTATGATGTTTTATCATACTACCGTGTAAAATTTTTTTCCCAAATGTAGGATTTCTTATGTGAAATTGTTTTTGGATTTCTTATATGAAATTGTTGTTGGATTTATCGTTTCTAAATTATGTACTTCGTGTATGTAAATATTATCTGGCTGAATACTTCTAAAGCAGATAAATTAGCTGAAAATTAGACTCTTTATTGTTTGTTTACTCGAAAAAACACTGCATTAAGCATCTATGTTGTTAAGCAAATTTGCATGGGGTTACAGATAATTTAAAATTTAAATTATTGATTAGAGCAAAATATAAATTATTGATTACAATTTACATTACAGATAATTTAAATATTTTTTTTAAAAAATTATCTACTAAAAGTTACAGATAAGATGTTTTATAAACACACATAATAAACAACTAAACAGTTTATCCATAACAGGGGCAAAATGGTCATTTATCCAGAATCAGCTATTTTTCAAACGCATAAACCAAACAGTCAGCCAGCTTATCCGGATCAACTGCTCATCAGCAGATTATCAAGATAAACTGCTTATCAGCAGAAGCTGGATAAGCTGCAGCTGCCCCAAACAGACCCTAAATGCTTCTGCTTTTAATCTATATTCATGAGATGGTGTTAGTACTACTCGTAGGTTGTTTGAGTAAACATAATAGTGTTGATGGTGAAATAGTAGAAATTAGATAAAAATGATGTGAAAAGATAATGCAGTGGCATATAGAGGATAAGTAGCATTATAAAAAATTGTGCAAAAAGATTTGTTCGAAATAAAGTAGTCACTTATGTATTACTCAGTCTTAGAATAGTGGAGATGAGGATTCCTAAAGCTGAACCTAAGTGGTTGCATAAGGCTAATGTTGAAGTTAATTTTTTTTTTTTGTAATTTTTTGGATACTTGAAATGACATCAACTAATATTCATTTCTTAGCTACATATATGAACTGCCCAGAAATTGTTCAAACCTGTGGTATATATAAATTTTAAAAACTTATTTGGCTAAAAGGTGATTGATGCATCAATCAGGCAAGAAATTTCTATTTGACTCAATGTTTTTTAATTAATGGTTTAAATAATTTTTTGAACACTTTTCATTTCTTTATAACTTTATATTTACTCTGTCCTTAAAGTTGCTTTAAAGAGGTTTCTCAAGCCAGTTGTCACGGACAAATAATCCCACATCGGTTAGGTGTAGGGCTGAAAAACAGTATTTAAGTCCTGGGCTGCCCACCAGAGGTGACAAGTGGTATCAGAGCAAACTACTGCCTGCCAGGTGTGTGGACTCTCCATGGTCCAGTGGGACCCTCGGTGGAGCCGATCCGTGACGAGGGCGTCACGTGATTGGGTGGAGGAGAATGTCACGGACAAATAGTCCCACATCGGCTAGGTGTAGGGCCGAAAAACAGTATTTAAGTCCTGGGCTGCCCACCACCCTTAAGGGCTCTTTTGGGAGGTGACACAGTGCTTTAAAAGAAGAGCTCAAATATAATAGCACTGCAGGATTGAATACAAGATTAAGAACTGCTAATCTGGAAACGCTTGTGTGATAAACCTTGGTCCATTCTGAAGTAGGTCACTGCTAATAAATTGGTATTTATCTTCAGACAAAACTTGTGCTAATCATCGAGTGGTAGGATGCTGTATGATGAGTTGAAATGAAACCAATCCAAAACTTTGAAGAAGGATCCGATGTTGCTATTGACGCCTTAATGGATTTGACAAAAATTGCCTTGTAACTAATATAAAAAGATTTGTGGACTTCTATTTTATTGCTCTTTTTTTTTAAATTGCATGATATATAGATGGTTAAATTATTATGAAAAGTGCTAATATCATCAATCTCACTCATGAAAGTCAACGATGTGAATTAAATATTTACATGAACTTTAATAGTTTTTCTTTTTCATAATATTGAATTATTTTGTTTTTTACTTCTTAATGATATTAAGTTCATTAGCAATTAATCAGCATTTTATTAGCAATTTTTAGTTGTTTGTTAATTTCCTTGTTTTGTATGTTTTATTAGGTGTTTGTTAATGACTTGGGAGTTTATTGGTGTTTTTTTTTACTTTTAGTAGTTTGTTATTTCTTTCATCTACTTCTCTGAATTTATAGTTATGCATCTATTTATGTCATGAATAAAATTTTGCTTAGATATGAAGTCTTTTTTCGTTACTTTTAGGGTTTGATTGTTGATTAGTTGAGAGTTTTGAAATCCTTTTGGGAGACATAATTCTAAGAAAGTGTTGCCGAGATGAGAATGATTAGTTTTGTGAGTGGCTTTACACTTAGAGACAAAATGCAAAATGAATATATCCGTGATAGAGTTGGTGTAGCTCTAGTGACGAACAAAATTAGAGAGAGTCGTCTTAGATGTTTTGGTCACATTAAACGTCGACCATCTGACGATCCGATTAGGAGAGTAGATATTTTAGATTCGACTTATGTTAAGAAAGGTAGAGGTAGACCTAGGAAGACATGGGCTTATTGTATAAAAAATGATCTTAATTTATTAGAACGAAATGAAAATATGACACTAAATAGGACGCAATGGAGAAAAAAAGATTCATGTAGCGGACCCCATGTAGTGGGATTAAGGCTTTGATGTTGTTGTTGTTGTATTTAACTTTTGTCATTTTTATAATTTTAGTTACCTTTTTTCTAGTTTATCATTCAAGTATGTTGCATCAAATTAGTATCATAGCTATGATTTTTATGCATTTATATATACTAGATTGCTGTAAGCAAATTTTAGTTGTTGAATTTCTTAGCACAATTTTTAATATTTAGTTATTCTTATTAAAGATCCTATGCTGATGTTGAAGGGTAGGATACATGATTAGAGGGGGTGCAAAGAGCACTTTTAAACTTATTTGAAAGTTTGCTAACCTCTATCCTTCATAATCAAACCATGAAAGCTGGTAATTTAATAATCCAGTATTTACTAAATAAGCACACAAATGCGTACAAGTGCAAGGTGAACGATTAATATCAAGCACAGTATTAATAGTGTCACTCTCAATTACATAACTACTCAAGTTTGTAAAAAACGTAAAATATCCTACGAGTGTGACTTTACAATCATGCAATGCTGTTGCATTAATGATTAAGCTATATGTGTGAGTACACGGCAAGGCAATTTTTTTTAATCTACTTAGCTACACTAGCTTTTATAAGCACAACCACCCCAAAGTCACATAAATGTCCAAATAATATGAAAGTAATTTAAATATCATCTATGACTATGTGAGAGCATTTAATATCAAGCACTTAATAATGACATATTAACTACATAATGACAAAAGATCATGCATTTCGATTGTAAACTGATATAATTTGGTGTGGAAATTGATATGATATTCCACAGAAATTAGGGCAAACTCATTTTATTATATGAACATCAAACACTCAACTCGATTACAAAAGATGAACACCTACAATTCGAGAGGTAGGCTTTCTCTCCCAACTTCTAATATTCGTGATGTAGGAAATCTTTTCCAAACCCTTGTCCTAAGACTCATTAACAATGATCTCAATCGCCCTTAGGTTAATAAAGACTACATTGCCTTTAGGATAG